AAATTAGAAAAAAATTATTTGGTTCAAAGTGTGTGGACTTTTTGAAATTTTTTTTAGTAAAATTGTCACGACATGACTTTTTTTTGTCGCCTTGTGTAATTTAATCCTCAAAAAAAAAAAAAACCCTGAAAATTTCCAGAAACTGACTTAAATCTAATCACTCCAACACATCGCGATCTACTTGGAGGAAGCAACACCGACTTGTCCAACCTCAACGAGCAACCTCTCCGACCCTTGGAACAAGTCGACGGCGACTACATAGAGTATTGCGACCCATTTGATACCTCAATCGTCGAAAATGCACAACTTGTAGGCCAAACCGAGTTGAAATTCATCGAAAAGGAACTTCTCGGTGATATAAAAAGCCAAGAAGAGGAGGATTTTGATCCGAGAAGAAGTGAACGGACTTTATCACGACCTGATGTACTAAATATCGGCGCGAAAACAGTCTCTTTTGATCTACCATCGCCCCAAAACGACCTACTTGAAGTTAGAGAGAAAATCGCAAAGCCTTTAACACCATTCTACGTGCGCAAAAACTCAGTTCCTGAAGAGTTTTTCCCAGAGGATGACCCATTTGACACTTCCTTTGTGAGTGATAAACCGGGGAAAGCCGAATTGAAGATAATCGAGAGTGAATTGTTTCAAGATTTTGAGACAAAAATTGATTTATTGGCACTTGAGCATCAAGTTCCTGTCAAAGTTCTAACACCATTGGGGGAAAAACCGGAGATTTCATACAGTGATCCTTTTGATACGTCAATTGCTTGTAATATTGTTCCGGGGAAAACCGAATTAAAACTACTCGAGTCTGAGTTGATTGATCCGGGCAAAACTCCGGTTGATTTACTTGATAATTTTCCGGATCCTGCAAGTCACACTTGTCTAAAACCGGAAAGTTTCGATTGTGACCCTTTTGATACCAGTATTGCTAATAATATAGCACCCGGAAAAACAGAATTGAAACTACTAGAATCTGAATTGATTTAAAATGGATGTTAAAGGAGTGAATCCTTTTCTCCTTGAAGATGAATACACGTCACCACATTCAACTGTTTCAAATCCTTTCCTTATGGGAGGGGATGAGGATTATCCTCCCGGAAGTGATAATCCCTTTTTGGTTCAAGCTTCCGCCTCCTCCAACAACACCAATCCTTTTGCTTTCGATCCCATGGAACTGGAACCACAACCCCCACCTCAAAAACCCACCGATTTGGACTTGAAATTTACAGCAGCCCCTTCAAGACCACCCCCACCACGACCCCCGAAAGAAACCCAGGATTTGTTAATGTCAGTCATGGGGGCTATGGACGCGACAAGTTCCCATTTACTGGACCGGATTCCTCCAACCCGGACTCCAAGTCCGGTGAATATGCGCGATTTGCATTCACCTAGTCCCACTCCGGAACCCACTTTCGGGGATTTACTCGATGTTGGTACCACTATTGAACCATTGAACCAAGACAATGATATTAATCAAAATCCACCAAATGATAATAAGCCGGTACGACCTAAACCGCCACGCCCAAAACCGCCCCCAGTTTTGGCACCAAAACCACCACCGAAAGATGAAATGGAGGATATGTTTGGGGTTGAAAATGTGGTACCAAAAATTGCAACCAAAGCCGATATTTTAAACTTGTATAATGCACCAAAACAGGAGAAAACCACCGATTTGTTGTTTGATTTGGTTGAACCGGAGGAACCCAAACCAGAACCACTCCAAGACAATTTCATTTCACCGGAACCATCGTCGCAAAACGACCTACAAATGGACACGAGTGATAGTCAAAGTAAAGGTTCCGTGTCTAGTGTCACATTTAATCCATTCGCGGCGCAGGAACCAATCCTTGACAATAACGTTTTTCTGCAAAATGACGAGAACCAATCGCCTGCTGATAAACCTGCGACTCCTGCGACTGATATTTTCGCCAATCAAGAGACTCAGGAGACCCAGGAGAAAACCGACGACGAATTTGATGCTTTTGCCCAAAAATTTGAATCGGTAAAAGATGAAAATAAGAACGGATTGGATGCGTGGGGCAACGATTTTGGAACAAATCAAGACAATTCAACAGGATTTGGCATAGAGGAGTCGTTTGATGCGTTTTTAGCCCTTCAGGAACCACCGACGGTACCACAAAGTACCCCAAATCGGGTCAGCAAAGCCGCGTCGCAGGAGTCAGACGAGGACAAGGATTTCTCAGTTTTCATAAAGTAAGTTTTTATACAGGGTGATTCATATTAAAATGCGCCTAATGCAAATATATCTTATCCTTGAAAAAAAGTCATTTGATTGTCATTCTGTCAAAGATTAAATTTTTTGATGTTTTTGGGGATTCGTAGAACGTCATTTCATTGTCAAATTGTTATTCTGTCAAGGATGTCCAAAATCTATTTTTCTTATTAATTTAAAAATAATTAAAATTTTTGATGTGTTTTGAACATCTATGGAAAAAATGTCATTTCATCGTCAAGGATGTCCAAAATCTGGTTTTTAAATAAACAAAGAATAATTGAATTTTTAATATATTTTGGACATCCATAATAAACATTATTTAATCGTCATTCTGCCAAGGATGTTTAAAATCTGTTTTTTAATAAATTAAAAACAATTAAAATATTTGACGTGTCTTGGACATCTTTGGAAATCCGTCATTTAATTAACAATTTGTCATTCTATCAAGGATGTCCAAAACCTAATTTTTAAAGAAACTGAACGTAATTGAAATTTTTGCTGTTTGTGGACATTTTTTTTTAAAAACTTCATTTAATTGTCAAATTATTATTCTGAAAAGGTAGTCCAAAATCTGGTTTTTAAATAAATTGAAAATAATTAAAACTTGATATGTTTTTAACATTTTTAGAAAAAAACGTGATGTAATTGTCAAAATGTCATTCTCTCAAAAATATACAAAATGAGTTTTCTTAAATAAATGAAAAATAATTGAAATTTTTGACATAATTTGGCCATCCTTGGAAAAAAATCATTTAATTATCAAATTGCCTTCTGTCAAGGATGTCCAAAATCTGGTTTTTAAATAAATTGAGAATAATTGAAATTTTGATATATTTTGGCCATCCGTGAAAAAAGATCATTTAAACGTCATTCTGACAAGGATGTCCAAAATCTGTTTTTAAATAAATTGAAGATAATTAAAATGTTTGACGCGTTTTGGATATCCTTGGAAAACCGCCATTTAATTATCAAATTCTCATTGTCAAGGATGTCCAAAATTTCAAATAAATTGAAATTCGAAATTTTTGCGAATAGACCAAAATCATCGTCAAAGATATCCAAAATCTGTTTTTTAAATAAGTTAAAAAAAAAAAAAAATTTGACATGTCTAAAGAATGTCCAAAATATGTTTTTCTAATAAATTGACAATATAATTAAAATTTTTGATATGTTTTGGTCATCCTTGAAAAAAATGTCATTTAATCGTGGTTCTGTCCCTTATTTAGTTTTTAAATAAACTTATAAATCAATATTTTTTTTATGTTTTTAGATATTCTTGAAAAAAAAACTTCATTTAATTGTTAAATTGTCACTCTGTCAAGGAAGACTAAAATCGTTTTTTTAAATAAATAGAAAATACTTGAAATGATTTGGGCATCCTTAGAAAAAAAAAAGGTCATTTAATTTTCAAATTGACATTTTATCAAGGATGTCCAAAATTGTTTTTTTTTAATAAATTGAAAATAACTGAAATTTTTGGTTATGTTTTGAACATCCATGGAAAAAATATCATTTCATCGTCAAGGATGTCCAAAATCTGATTTTCACATAAACTAAAAATAATTGAATTTTTAATATATTTTGGACATGCATGAAAAAACATTATTTAATCGTCATTCTGTCAAGAAAGTTTGAAATCTGTTTTTTTTTGTAATAAATTAAAAATAACTAAAATGTTTGACGTCCTTGGTAAACGGTCATCATTGAATTATCAAATTGTCATTATGTCAAGGATGTCCAAAATTTGTTTTTTTAATAAATTAGAAAAAATTCAATTTCTGACATGTCTAGGACATTCTTGAAAAATCGTAATCCTTGAATTATCAAATTGTCATTATGTCAAGGATGTCCAAAATTTGTTTTTTTTAATAAATTAGAAAAAATTAAATTTTTGATATGTTTAGGACATT